GGCTCCCTCCGAGCATCTCCTGCACGTCTGCTGCCCAGCAGGGAGCAGCGGCCCAGCCAGGGCGGAGGAGGCATCTGGGTCAGGAGGTGGCAGCTGGGGCAGGCCAGGCCAGGAAGGGCGGGGCTGGGGTTTCCCTCCATTGCCTTGGGGGGGCTTCCTTGTGCTCGTGGGGGGAAGCGGGGACGCCAGGGGCAGTCAGGGCCACTGGTTGGCCATGTACATGAGAAAAGCGTCCTTGGCACAGAAACTCCATTCCTTGCCCTGTCCCGGGACAGAAAACAAGCCTGAGATTCCGAAGGGAGCAGTGACCCTTCTCTCCACCCCACCCCCCCACGCCATAAATAAGCAGGGAACCCACCCCAGCCCCGCTGCAGGCTCTGTCTCCCTGGCTTCTGTTGCTGCCCGAAACAGTGGGGACCACGTCCTCCCCACGGTCAGGGACCCCAGCCCCGAGGACTGGGCTGCCCCAGGCCAGGCTGGAGACTCGGGCCAGCCCCAGACCCTCTGCCAGGCAGAGGCGCTCCTGGCCTGGTCTGAGTGCCAGACACGTGCCCCCGGGCGCTCAGGCCAGGAGCCAATCTGGCCCTGATCCGCTTGTTCTGCTGGGAGAATAAGGAAACTCCCCTGTGAGCCTGGGGGCGGGGCGCATAACTCAGGGAGCACCCAAAGGCCCGCAGAGTGTCACCCCAAGCCCGGCCCTCGCTGCTCCAGGTGCGTACTTGTTCCCTCCGGGGTCTCTCAGCAGGCCGGGCACAGGAGCCCCCGGGAGAGGCTGCGAGGAGCGGCTCAGAGACCCACACCAAGCGCTCGCGGTCAGCCCCCGTGTTGCGGGGCACACTGGAGACAGCAGTGCGGGGAAGCCAGGCCTGAGCCCGGCCTCTGCCCTGCCCTGCCCCCCGGGCCTCCCCGCAGCCCCGGAGTAGGCTGTGAGGGCGCGATCCAGGGGCCGCGAGAGGGGCCCACCGCGGTCTTGCCTGCCCACGCTCTTCCTCCTGCCCCACCTGGGAGAAAAATGCTTTAGGATCAGGAAGAACTGGCAAGAGCCTCATCGCCGCCAGACTCCAGCTCCGGGAGCCTGGGTGCCCTCCGCGGCCCTTGGGGAAACTGAGACACAGGGCCGTGTGCTGGGCCCGGTCACAGAGGGCCCAGCTGGGTCGGAGCCTGCATGGAGCGCCCAAGGCTGGGCATGAAGCCGCAGCGGGGTGTTGGTGAGAGAACCCCTGGGCCGGGCCCTGACCACCCTGGGGAGGCCGAACACTCCCGGGCCCGGTGCAGGCCGACTTGCTAACTTGAGTGAATCCGGGGGCCCGGGGGCCTGTGGTGGTGGGCGCCAAGCAGGCAGTGGACAGGGGCTGGGCTGTGGGTGACCAGGTCAGTGTTGCGGTGGGAGGGGACAGGGCTGCAGCTTGGGGGCAGGACTGGGCGAGGCCAGTGGGGACAGGAGCAAGGGCCTGGGCGAGGTGGCGGGTGTGTAGGGCTTGGTGGGGAGGCGGCGGTGGCAGGACCTGACAGATGTGTCCCCGACAGGACCTGGGGGCCTGGAGAGAGCCTCGGCGGTCACACCCGTCCCCCCAGATGTGGCTCTCTCCACCTCCCGTCCAGCACCGGCCGAGGCCTGGCCCCCAAGACGGAGCCTAGCGGCCATGCGGGACAGCAGTGGACAGCACAGGCAGCTGGGCCAGGCCTTGGGCTGCGCCGACTCTGGACACGGGTGTGACCAGGAGCCACGCGCAGGGCCAGCCCGGCCAGGATGGCCACCCCCTCCCTTCCCAAAGCGGTGTCCGGGGAGCCCAAGCGCTGAGAGCTCAGAAAACCCAAGCTTGTGCCCTGGAAGCGGCCGGGGGGCGGCCCGAGTGGGAGCCCAGGGCGCGAGTTCCTGGTTGACCCAGAGCCTCGCGGGACCAGGGAGGTGGGGGCCACTGTCCGGCCTCGCACACTGGCCCCGGGACACGGCGCTCACCGCAGGCCCCAGCCAGGGCGGCTCTGACGGCCACGGGCAGTGGGGTCCCTTCTCGGGGAGACCAGGCTCGGGGCGTCCGTGGCGTCCATAGAGCAGATGCCTCAGCTGCAGCGTGGGGCACGATTCAGCGTGACCCAGACCCACGGTCCTGGCGGGGTGGGGGTCGTGGGCGTCGAGCAGCAATATGCGCCCGGGGCCCTAACAGCCCACGATGTCTGGGGACCCGGCTACATGTCCCCCGGCAACGCCCTCCCACCCATGGGGCCAGGGGAGCAAGGGACCCCAGGGTTTTTGGCTTCTTTGCAAGAAAGAATTCATATGGAGTCAGTGAGTCAGAACCGACTTGGGGCTAGAGGAGGGGTGCTCACCTCAGCTGGCTGAGACGACCGGCTGCCCGGCCTGGTGTCTCTCTCACGCAGGCGCGCGCCCACCTTCAGCCGCCCGCTCTGTTCACTTACCACCAAGCCCTTCCCCCGCCTCAGGGCCTTTGCACCTGCTGCTCCAGACCCTGGGGTGAGGTCTGGCCCCAGCCCCACCCGAGATGAGCTTCCCCAGGAGAGCTGATCCCTCCCTCTGCTGCAAGTCATGGCTTTCTCCACCCCGACAGGTGGGAGCCAGGGCCCGGCCCGCCGGTGGGCTCTCCCCACTGCCCCCGCGGCCGGCACACACCCGCCGCCCACGGCTTTCCCCTACAACCACCTCTCACTCCTTTTGAAAGAAACAAATTTCCACACCAAATAAGGCGGTGGACTGCAGGGCCGCCTTCACACAGATCCCTGGAAGTGTCCCAGGGCAATTACACTGGGAACTTGCCCGGAGGCACCCCCGCCGCCCCACCCGCCTCCCCACTGCCCTCTCCCCTCCCACGTAAACAGCAAACAGCAGCCCAGCTGGGCCCCAGCTGCCCAGGGAGGAGGCCGGGCACCAGCCCTGCCGCGCCAGCTGCCTCCCGCTCGCCCGGCGCCCCAGCGCCCGCACCCCAGAGGCTCCCCCGGCCCCTCCCTAGCACCCAACGCCCCCGAGGCCAGCGAGGCCGCTGGGCACCACCCACCACTTCCAGGGCGGCTTGAGCAGAGCCGTGGGACCCCCCGGTGGGTGGCCCGCAGGGCGGGTGAGGGGCAGCTCCGCATGGCCACGGAGACGGTGACGCGGGCGGCATTTGCTGGTGCGGGGACGCACCCACGGAGGGCACTGGGCTCCCTGGGCCAGAGGAAAGTCAGGGGCGGGGAGCCACTCTCAGCCCCATGGGCGCTGCACCCTGCGGGGCTTCGGCTCCAGGCGCGGGAGGGAGGGGAGCAGCCGCGGCTTGCCTCCTCGGGCAGTGCTGTGATTTTCCACTTGCGCCATCTGATTGCCATTAGGGCTGAAGCAGAGGGAATTCCTGGCTCCAAAAGTCCACAGGGCGCGGGCGGACTCGCAGAGGGTGCCCCTGGGTGGCCTCACACCCCGCTGCCAGCACGCCTCCCCAGGGCCTCAGCCTGCTCCCCGGCTTCCCGGCAGCGCCCCTGAAGGTGCTCAGACACGGCCGGCAGGGCCAGCCCCTCCGGACCCGCCGGCCCTGAACCGCCCACTGGGAGCGGACAGGGACCAGGCGAGTGGACAGCCGGCGCGCCGTCCCTGGGCAGCCTGGCGGAGCCGCGGGAGGCGAGATTAACAGCTGGACTCGGCCCTCGGGGCTCGGGCCAACGTGACGTCACCGGGAGGGATGAGCTCCCGTGAGGCTGGGGGGGCTCCGAGCGGGGCATTCCTTCCCGCCTCATCCCGGCCGGCCGGCCCTCCTCCTCCCCGCCCCGCCTGCCGGCCTGGAATTGGGTTTGGGGCGGTTCGCTCTGCAGGCGGCGGCAGGCGGGCGCCTCCACTCTGAGCTCCGGGCAGCGCCGGGGCGGGTCTGCCGGCCTGTGGGTCAGCAGCCAGCACGACCCCAGGAACCCGCAGAGGAAGAAGGGGGACGGCAGCGAGCTCGGAGAAGCTTGCAGGTAGCAAGGTGGGGGCCGCTGGGCTTCGGAGGGGGGCTGCACGGGTGGGTGGGCGCCGCGGGGTGGCGCCTTCTGGCAGAATCCGAGCAGCCCCAGGGGGGTCCCCGGAGCCCCCGCAGGGCTGCCGCCCTCCAGAGATCCGCCCTCAGGGCCCCAAGCTCCGGTCCCGGGGACAGTGGGGAGGTGGCCGCAGGCCCTGACCTTCTGGCTGTTCCCCACCCTCGAACGTCCTGCTGTGGGTGGGGGCTCTCGCTCTGTCCCCCACGCCCTCGCCAGCTGTCCAAGCTTGCTGGAGGGCGGGCAGGCAACACCCGGCGGGCAGCAGCCCAAGCCCAGCAAGACGCCCCTCGGCCTCACGCGCCAGCCTCACGCCCCTCCTTCGCGAGAGCTGCGCCCAGCCCCCGCGGCCGGGGCCACCTGGGCTGGACACGGGGGCACCAGCCTCACAGGCAGAGCCCAGCCTGGTGCTGGATGTTGGAGACAGAGCAGAGGGCCTGCTGCCCCAGAGAAGCCCCTCAGGGCAAATTGTGAGGGCCCTTCAGGGAGAGCACAGCCTGTCTGTGGGGGAGTGACCACCTGTGAGCCCCCGGTAGCCCCAGGCCAGAGCCCTCCGGCTGCAGGTGCAGTCAGAGCAGAGACAGGCTGGGGGGCCAGCCTGGAGGACTGTGGGGGTGGAAGAAAGGGAGCTTCCTGAGGCCCAGGCACCCCACCTTGGGCTGGTGTTTGGAAGGGCTGTCAGGAGCGAGCAGATCTGTCAGGCGGCAGACCTGACCGAGGCCAGATCACGGCCTGAGCAGCGTGTGGGCACACGCACACTCACGTGCACACGTGCACGCTGACACACACGTGTGCGCACACCCACGCACACTGGCACATACACACGCGTGTGCACACACTCACGCGCATGCATTTGGGGGCTCACCCAGACTCCTCAGCGCTTCCAGATCGCTCTGTGACGGCCTTCTGGCTGCCAGGACAGGACTCAGAGCCCAGGCTCCAAGCCCCGCCGGTGGGCCTGGCCAGGGAGAAGGGCCAGCTCTGTCAGGACACCGGGGTCCTGGCCAGGGGTGGGGCGGAGGGCCGCCAAGCAGAGCGGAAGAGTGGCGTGGGGGGGCCGTGCCAGGGCCATGAGAAATGGGGCAGAGAAGGGGAGTCCGGGGGTTGCAGGGAGGAGCTCGGGCGCCCCAGGGCTGCTGGTGCAGGAGGCGATGTCCAGCTGAGGGAGCCTGGGGCAGCTGGAGGGGCGCCGCGCTGGCGGGGACGCAGCTACACATGCAGGTGTGCTCTGCACACGCGTCAGGACGGCGCCCCTGCGCCCCACGCGCCCCCTGCGCCCCACGCGCCCCCTGCGCCCCACGACCTGGCAGACGCACCCAGGACAGGGGAAGCCTTGCCAAGGCCCCAGCACTGGGCAACGTGGAGTGACGGGTGGGCTCAGGAGCTGGCCCTGCAGACCCCAGACCCCCAGCAGCCCGGGCGGCGCCAGGCTTGAGGAGGTGGGGCGGCGCCGGCGGACCTCGCAGCCAATCCCGTGCGCCCCTCGGCCCCGCCCAGGCTGGAGGGTGTGCCTGGAGGCTCCGCCCACCGCTAAGGAAGGAACTGGGGGTTGGGGGGCCGCCTGCGTGCTGCCCGGAGCTCCGCCCCCCCGCCCTGCAGAGGCCCTTCTCAGGCCTGCCCCGGGCTCCCCAGCAGCACAGCGGCCGATGGGGCCTGGCGCGGGGCGAGGGTGGCTGCCCACCGGCTCTGTGGGGCTGGAGTGACAGGTCTCTGCCCCGGTCGCTGCCCCTCCTGGCCGGGCACCAGCCCGGGCCTCCCTGCACGGGGTGAGGCCGGCCACTCTTCAGGCCCCAGGGGCCTCCGGCCGCCAGCTGCGGGAGCTGGGCGCACAGACCCCGCACAGACCCGGGGGCTGCAGAGCCCCGGCGGGGAGCATGGCCCGCCCCACCTGGGGCCCGACAGCGCCTCCCTGAGCCTGGGGGCGCCCCCGGCCGCGGGCCAGTGGGAAGACGAGTGTAGCTAGCTGCCTGCACACGGCAAGGGTGCTGATGATGACCCCACTGTCCTGCCCGGCAGGCGGCTCCAGGGAAAGACCTTGGCACGTTACAAGCAGGAGAGCCTCCTCCAGGAAGCCTCTCGGATCTCGCCTCCTTGGCTCCCCGCTCTGGGACTGGCTGCTGGGGCCGCGCAAGCAGGGGCCCAAGCAGTAGTAATGCCCCGAAGGCGGCTGGGTCCAGACCAGCGGGGGGGGGGGTGTCACCAGGGTGCCAGCAGCCAGCACCCGCCCAGGGGCCTGAATCTCGGGGCCACACGCTCATCAGCCTTTCCTCAGGCACTGCCGAGGGCCACAGGCCTGGAGCCTGGCCGGGGGCGGGCAGTGGACAGAGGTCAGGAGGGTGGGCGGTGGCGCCCCTGATGCCCGCTTTCTGCCTTTGCCAGGTGGCGCGACCTGCGAGCCGTGAGAGCCGAGAGCAGCAGGCGCTGGGCCTGGACATGGCGGGGAACTGCTCCTGGGCGGCCCAGCCCGCAGGCAGGGGCGAGGCAAGTGTGGCTGCGGTCTGCGGGCCGGGCGGAGCGGCGGGAGCAGGGCCTGCACCCCCCCCCACGCCTCACCTTCTGGTAGCTTCCGGCCTTGGGCTGTGTGGCCCGGTGCCCGGGGCCCTTGTCCCCTGACCTGTCACTGACCTTGGAAGCCTTGGTCCTTCTCTCCCTTGCCAGGAGGCCCTGGGACGCACCTCCTAGGTGACCGGCCCCTTCTTCTCAGAGGGCCTCGAGGACCCTGGACCCCCCGCCCCCAGCCCAGGGGAACACGCTCGAGGTGGGAGGCCCCTCGAGTCAGCCGCCTCAGAAGAAACTGAGGCTCACACCGGAGCAGTGGCCGGGCCGGGCACGCGGGTCGGGTGCAGCGGGCGCCTGCCTGGACCCTGCCAGCTCCCGCCACGCCTGCGGCTTCGCTGCACTGCCCGCTGCCTGGTGGCCTGAGGCAGCGACTGTCTGGGGCTCCAGAAATGGGGGGAAAGGAGCGCCCGGGAGGCTGTGCAGGCGTGGCCGGCGAGCGCCTCGCGCCGGGGTGACTCACCCGGCCTCCCGCTCCGGCTCCCGGGGCCTGGCCGGCTTTTCCGGCCACGTGTGAGAGGCACTTTCCCCAGCCACACCCAGGCCCACGCCCTCCCGACGCCCCGTCCTGGGGGCTCGCAGCGCCAGGCCAAGGCTCTCCTTCCCTGCCACCAACAGGGCCCCTCCGGGGCCGGCCTCTGCCCGCCGGGCCAGCCGGACAGTGCGGGCCTGCCTGCGAGGCCTCTGGGGCTGGCTCTGTTTTTGTTGGGGGGAGGCCAGGGTGAAGGGCACTGACCCCAGCCTGAGCTCAGGAGAAGGCCGGCGGGGCCGGGGAGGGCGAAGGCCAGGCTCCCGCCCGGGCAGGCAGGGTCGGATGGGTGGTCTCCGTGGGGGGCGGTCAGGGGCCGCGCTGGCCACCTCTGTGGCTTGAGTGAGGAGCCACAGGGACAGCTCCCGGCCGGGGTCAGCTTGTGGACGTGCTGTGTTTGGCCCACCGGATGCGTTTCCAGTGTTCGTGTTTAAAGGTCAGGGTAGTTCACACTGGGGTCTAGAGCGCTGGCTCCTCTGGGGAGGGAGAGCGGTCAGCTGCCCCCCCAGCGGCCCCCGGCATCCAGAGCAGTGCCCACATCACCCGCTCAGTGTGCCGCTGCCCCCAGCCAGTCACGCTCGGGCTGGCCCTTGGCCTACTGGCCTGGACCCCGCAGCAAGACTGATGCCAGGCAGCCTCAGCCGGCGGCCAGGTCCAAACTGCCGGGCTTGCCCAGCCCGGTGCCCAAGCCGCGCAGGCCTCGGCCACCGCCCGGCGGGCCCCAGGCCCAGCAGGACTGCTGGTCACCCCGCCCTGCCCGGGATGGGCGGCTCCTGCTGCCGGGGCCACGGTCCACTTCGTGTCGCTGTTTCTGTAACTCGCAGGGACTTCACTGTTTTCAAATAAATATTTCCGTGTGAAGGTCGCGAGTGTAGAGTTTGCCAACGTGGCTCCAGGGCCGCCCCCCGCGGCCAGCCTCTGGCCAGGCGGCTCTCCGTGGGTGTCTCGGCAGACAGACCAGCCTCCCGAATGACGTGCAAGCGGCAGGCACCAAGCCCCTGGCCCCCACCTGAGAACAGGCCACGCTGGCACCCGTGGGGCGTTCCCCGCGGCACGTCCCCCCAGGCTTCACGCTCTCCCACGCCGGCGCTGGCCCAGGCCCCGCCCCCGCGGGCTCCCACCCCGTCAGAGCGCAGTCCCGGTCCCTGTACCCAGAGCTGCACCTCGAAAAGCCTCCGCTGCCCTCCCCGGTGTGGGCGTTCTGACCTGTCTATCCAGACAGGTGGTGGCCAGGGCCCGGGGCCCTCACGGGGCCGCAGCTCTGGGCTCTGGGACGCGGCGGCGGCCCGGAGGGGTCAGGGGGCCTTCTGCCCTCACAGAGGAGCTGTGGCGTGTCCAGAGCCACTGACTGCAGCAACACCAGCCACCTGGGAGCCACGCCAGCCACGGGGTGGGGCTTGGTGCAGGGCCAGATGCGGGCCCAGGGCAGGGCACAGGCATGAGGCGAGGTGGGGGCCAGGCGGGGCCCCGGTGCGGGGCGCCAGTGCAGGGGGCCAGGCGGGGCCCCGGTGCGGGCCGGCCCTCACGGCTGTGTCCCCCCTCACCTGCGCAGACGTGTCCCGGCCGCGGCGAGGTCCTGGAGCTCTACAGCCGAGGCTTCCTGACCATCGAGCCCATCAGCCTGCTGCCCCCGCCAGCCGTCGTGAACTACATCTTCCTGCTGCTCTGCCTGTGCGGGCTGGCGGGCAACGGGCTGGTGCTCTGGTTCTTCGGCTTCTGCATCAAGAGGAGCCCCTTCTCCACCTACTTCCTGCACCTGGCGGGCGCCGACGCGGGCTACCTCTTCAGCAAGGCCGTGTTCTCCGTCCTAAACGCCGGGGGCTTCCTGGGCGCCTTCGCCGACTACGTCCGGGCCGTGTGCAGGGTCGCGGGCCTGTGCACGCTGGTGGCCAGCGTGGGCCTCCTGCCGGCCACCAGCTTCGAGCGCTGCGCGTCCGTGCTCCTCCCGGCCTGGTTCTGGCGCCGGCGGCCCCGGCGCCTGTCGGCCGTGGTGTGCGCCCTGCTCTGGGCCCTGGCCCTCCTGGTCACCGGCATCCACCACTACTTCTGCGTCTTCCTGGAGCGGCAGGCCGCGGGCAGCGCCTGCAGGCACATGGACACCTTCCTGGGCGTCCTGCTGTTCCTGGTCTTCTGCCCGCTCATGCTGCTGCCCTGCCTGGCGCTCGTCCTGCACGAGGAGTGCGGGGCCCGGCGGCGCCAGCGCTCGGCCAAGCTCAACCACGTGGTCCTGGCCACGGACTCCGTGTTCCTCGTGTCCTCCATCTACCTGGGGATCGACTGGTTCCTCTTCTGGGCCTTCCAGATCCCGGCGCCCTTCCCCGAGTACGTCACGGACCTGTGCCTGTGCGTCAACAGCAGCGCCAAGCCCGTGGTCTACTTCCTGGCCGGCAGGGACAAGTCGCAGCGGCTGTGGGAGCCGCTCAGGGTGGTCTTCCAGCGGGCCCTGCGGGACGGCGCCGAGCTGGGGGAGGCGGGGCCGGCCACGCCCAACACGGTCGCCGTGGAGATGCAGTGCCCCCCGGGGAACGCCTCCTGAGCCCCTTCCGCTGGACACAGGGACAGGCCCGGGGCCCGCGGGCCGTGTTCCTGCTGGCCAGCCCAGTCCCGCGCACCGCCTGACCCCTTGGTCAGCCCCCTGAACGCCACAAGGCCTGCACCACCCAGCAGCCCCCCGCCTGCTGCGAGACCCCGCGCTCTCTGTCCCTCCGAGGGGACACGGGCAGAGCTGACCTCATGGTGCTACCTGGGACGGGTGCCCCTTAACCTGCCTCGCAGCTCGGTCTCTACGAGCCACGTCCCTGCCCCCGTGACCAAAACCGAAGTGACTGACGGGCGTTCCCGGCCCAGCGCGCGCTGAGACAGGGAGGAAGCCGCGGCCGCAGAGGGGGCTCTCCTCTGAACCCCGGCTTCTGCCGGCCGCTCCTGGAGCCCGAGCCTGGCCCGGCTGCTGCCCGCCTGGCCCCAGGCTCCTGCGCACCCGCTGGGGGCCTCTGGCCCAGAGCCCCCCAAAATGGGCTCTGGCTCAGGCCCGGCCCCTGGCCACCAGCCAGCACGGCGCCCAGCACAGCCAGGGGACGTCTGACGTACCCCAATAAACGCTTCCCTCCGCGCGGCAGCCTCTGCCTCTGTGCTGCCGCGGCCCAGCGCCCAGGGAGCAGCCCGGGGCAGGGAGCCCGGGAGCCTCCGCCCCGCAGCCTGCGCCCTCCCGCCTCGGTCTCCCTCTCCCGCTGGCCTGCCTGCCCCTCGGGCCGCCCCTTCCAGGGACCTCGCCGGCCCGTGTCCTCCGCCGTCTGCGGCCACGCAGAGGCTCCGCTCCCCCAGGCTTCACCCCGCTGCGCGGGCACCGCCCTGGCGGGTCCTGCCGCTGCCCGTCTGGAATGCCCCCGCGACCCAGCTCCCCGGGGCAGGCGCCGACCTCCCGTGCCAGCGCCCAGACGGGCTCAGCAGGGGGCCGGAGCCTCCCCCCAGGAGGGCCCCATCTCGGACCCCACCCCTCTGGGGGCCACCCTGCGGACACTTGCTTTCTGAGCGGCCCACGGAGACACCGAGGCAGGGACACTGGTGGCCGGGAGGGGGCGGGGCCGCTCGAGCTGGCAGCGGCAGCAGCCGGGATGTGACTGCCGCAGGCAGACCCTGGGCCCGCGCGGCTGGAATGCCCCCGCGACCCAGCTCCCCGGGGCAGGCGCCGACCTCCCGTGCCAGCGCCCAGACGGGCTCAGCAGGGGGCCGAGCCTCCCCCCAGGAGGGCCCCATCTCGGACCCCACCCCTCTGGGGGCCACCCTGCGGACACTTGCTTTCTGAGCGGCCCACGGAGACACCAAGGCAGGGACACTGGTGGCCGGGAGGGGGCGGGGCCGCTCGAGCTGGCGGCGGCAGCAGCCGGGATGTGACTGCCGCAGGCAGACCCTGGGCCCGCGC